CTTGTGTGCTAACTTGATTTTGCCAACTATCTCCAACTGTTTCACACTCTCCAATAAAAGGTAAAATTTTCTAGTCAAAACTCATTTATTACCTCACAACCTACTAGAACTTAAGTGTAAAAATAAATTACTCTTAGCCAGTGTGGTGGCTCACACCTGTAGTCCCAGCCACTCAAGAGGCTAAAGCGGGAAGATCGCTCGTGCCCAAGAAGTTTGAGACCAGCCTGGGTAACACAGTAAGACTCCGTCTCAAAAAATAACCATCATCATCATCTTATTGTTACGTAAGTTAAAAAACTTGGTAAAGATCATCTTTGAACTTAAAAAATATTCAGTATTAGTATTTGTGACTTATGTATTAAAAATGAAGACCATGTTGCAGATAAGCAGTCTAATAATAATAAAGACCATGTTGAGATTATCAAAGCTTGGGGAGTTCCTCAATATAAAGGACAATTTTAGACCATATTAAACATTTTAATTGCCTAAGTATACACACTTGTAATGCAACTATAATAAGCACATATTAAACCATGCTAAAAACATGGATTGCTCTAAGTTTATTTCCACTGTCTCGCAATTTTTTTTCTTCTTCTTGAGACAGATTCTCGTTCTGTCACCCAGGCTGGAGTGCAGCGGCGCAATCTCAACTCATTTCAACCTCTGCCTCCCAGGCTCAAGCCATCCTTCCATCTCAGCCTCCTGATAGCTGGGACTACAGACACTTGCCACCACACCTGGCTAATTTTTTGTATCTTTGCAGAGACAGGGTTTCGCCATGTTGCCCAGGCTGGTCTCGAACTCCCGGACTCAAGTGAACCTACCACCTCAGCCTCCCAAAGTGTTGGGTTTATAGACATGAACCACAGCACCTGGCCTTTTTTTCTTTTTAAATAAAAGAGGTTTACTTGGTTCACGATTCTGCAGACTGTTGTCCTGCAACTTTAACAAGCTGATTCTAGACACATTCTGTGTGATATATTTTACCAAATGTATATCTGCTACGGCATTTTGAGAGTTTGAATAAAACTTGCAAGTCGTTACCTCGAGGTAAATGAGAAGCTCCAATGTGAAGAGGGGGCCCAGGAGCATTGCTGCGGATGATAGACATCTGCACGTTTGTAGTCATGATGTGGTGCAAGTTACTGGGATGGCCCTGAAAGAAAGAGGATAGAATGTTATTTTCACATGTTTGGTCTTAGCCATTGCCTCTAGGAAGTCACCTGCCTCCAAATGTGGGTCAGGTTTTTTCTTTTAGATAGTGAGTATCCCAAGGGAAAGGGCTAAGGACATTTAGCTTGAGCTACTTTTACATGCTGTACTGTATAATGAACTGTGCTAACAGGCATGTGAGAAGTATGAGGACCCCACAACTGCTGCAGGCCCAAATAATAACAGATAACATACTTTGAGGTCTACTTTTAGAAACTCTCATCTGTGGTACTACCTTTCACACTTGTTTTTTCTGTCCTGGCCAAATGCTTATTTTTTCCCATTCTCACAATTTCCTTTACATACCACTGCATCCATCCATTCTTTAAGCTTTGTGTTTCTAAGTAAATGTCAGTTAGCATCCAACAGGTGCTCCCCTACCAGTTCTTCAGCTCAACCCTGAAATGTCCCTTACTCACATTCTCCCAAACCACAGAGCACAGTGCTTCTCAGCTAAGGGCTCTGGTACTTCTGAGAGTACTCAGCAGTATGACAAAAGGAAAAAACACAGTACACCTCTTTGGAATATAAATTCTTCTTGAAAACGTGAAGGGAAAGTTTTTAGATTTATTTTTTTTCCCCAGGTAAAAAATTTTAAATATTTAATTAATCAAGTACACAGCAGAATAGGAT